GGGCCCGGGCTGGGGATTCGAACCCGCCACCTTAGGTGTATGTGGCTGGCGCCTTAGCCGCTTGAGCCACAGACGCCGAGCCGAGGCTGCATTTCTAACTAGCTCTGCTTCCCCATGGATAACACTTAAATCACACTTGACCTAGAAACCTTCAGACCTTGCCCACTGGGTTAGTTTGGGTGAGTTTCCTAAACTGTCATAACACAAAGACCTCAAAATGCAACAGCCTAGGGTGGGAGAGCTGTGCTCCCAAAATCAGCCCAGTGCTGGCCAGCAGGGTACCTGCTATATCCCCAACAGTGCCTCTGAGAGTCACTCCCATTGTCACCACTTCCAGCCAACAATGATGGGCAATTTGCACATGTCCCATTTGCTCACTTCTCTCTAGCAAGAACCTAACCACAGATTAGGCCCCACCTAGCTGCAAGAGAGGCTGGGAAACATAGCCCAGAGGCCACACCCAGTGGCCACACTGTGATGACAGAGGGCAGGAGAATGATTTGGGGGCAGCCTCCAGCAGTCTGTGGCACAGGATCTGGGGAATGAGCACTTCATGAGCATGTGACGGGAGCTGGACCCAGCAGGTCCAGCCCAGGGGAATTTGAACTTTGGTGTTACATGAGAGATGGCCACAGTGTCCTGGGAGAGCAGGGTGGTAAAGCAGCAGGACTCTGGAGTTGAGGGCTTGGATACTGTCCCCTCCTCATGTGACTTACCAGCTCTGTGACAGGGACAAAGCCAAGCTTCCTCCTCTGTAAACTGTCATGATAATACCACAATAGTTTCTATAGGGAGTCCTTGGCAAATGGCAGTAACTTCAGGAATCCAGGTTGCTATGAGGTGAGCTCAGGTTAATTTCAGATCAGATGAGGGTATTAGTGGATACAAACTATACTCAGTTTTATTGTCATTAAAATAACCCTCTTAGCCAGTTTATCATTCCCACTTAGCAATTGAGATGGATAAAAAACAAGTGCCATCAGCTCAGAGTGGGCAAGGCAGACCCGTCAACTTCTGGGACCACTCCATGGCAGATGACCTCAAGAGAGTTCAGGGCAGGCAAATGGGACCTGGGAGGATTATGGACAAATGCGTGTGGCAGGACTAAGGAAGCAGGTGTTTGCAACTGGAGAGGGGAGAGACTGGCCAGGAGTGCAATGGACACTTCATTTAACAAGCATTTACACAATTTGTGTCCATCCAAGCAGAGGGCTTTACCTTGAGAACCAATCAGAAGTACAGTCCCTGACCTCAGGGAGCTCACCATGGTCTACAAGCAAACCAACAACTCTGAAGTGGCACAGGCAGCGCTATGATCATAAAATGTGAGCAGGGTGCCTGGGCATCCCAAAGTCAGCCTAGGGTGAGGAGAAGAGCCAAGAAAGGACTCCAAGGGACTGAGTGCTCAGCCTGGGTCTTGGAGAAGGATGGGGTCACCTCCCACCCAGGGTCAAGAGGAAATAAGCCTTCTAGGCCAGGGTGATGACAAAACACAGCTTGTTCAAGGCCCAAGAAGCCACTAAGGGAGAACAAAGCCTAGTAGGGAGGAGGGCCCAGGTGGTGGAGGAGTTTGGGCTTTTTCCTAAGGGTGGTGGGAGCCACTGAAGGATTCTAGAGGGAGGAGATATCAAGGTCACACTGAGTCGTGAAGGTTAAGGTGAGGGTTAGTGAGAGGTGTGAAAGAAGGGGAGATGGGAGGCAGCAGGGGGTTGGATGGTGCCAGAAGCAGAGTCTCCAGAGCTCTTCAGGAGGCGCAGGGGCTGGGATGCCCCCAGCACACTGTTAGTCCCCTTGTGCCTGCGCTCTTTGCTCCACAGACCTTACAGATTGTCATGGTAGGCTGAATCCAGCACCACTGTTGGCCGCTGGCTGATAGGAGGTGCCTTGATTCAGAAGAGCTGAGCCTCCTAGCTGGAACTGCAAATGGTGGTTTCAAATTGGTCTCTAATTCCAGCCCAATCTCACATTGGTAGGCAGGACTGGGCCTGCTGGGAGCTACTGGCATTGCCTGAGCCTCATCTCAACCCCACCAGCGCAGAAGATATTCATAGCTGAGGAAGGTGACAGCGTTGACGGGAAAGGCACGGGCACTGTTGATGGTGAGGCCGCGGAAGAAGACCCCCGGGCCTTCCTGCCGCATGCTGCTCACCACACAGTCCAGCAAGCCCTGGTACGCCTTCCGTGTCAGCCCGTCCATCTGCATCCGGGACTTGATCACGTCCAAGGGCGTGGCTGTGATCCAGGAGGTGATGCCGGCGAAGCCCCCTGCTACCAACACTGTGGAAGAGCCTGGGGCAGAAGGAGCCCATGCAAAGTCGGACCTGGAACAGAGCGTGTCCCCAGCCCCCCTTCCCAGCCTCCACAGTCAGTCTGCCCCTGACCTGCACCTCTCTGTCCCCCACCTTCTTATGTTGCTCTACTTACTGGGATTTTGGCCCTCTGGTGTACCCTGGCGACAGAGTGCTTCATAGGTAACAAAGTAGATTCCCAGTGTGGGGGTGTCCCTCAGTGTCAGGGCCCAGGCTCCTCGGAAGAGCCCCCGTGGCCCCTCCTTCTGGAAGATGGAAGTTGCACAGTGCACAGGCCCCCGGTACCGGGGTGGGGGGCTCCCCGGCTTTGCTCTTGGCTCTGTCTGGTTTTGTAGCCGGACTTTGATGAGGTCAAAAGGAGCCAGGCAGTAGGCCTGTCAGGAAGGAAACGGGAAGACCCTAAATGGGGCTTCTGGCTGGAGACCATGAACTCATACTAAGCAAGCAGGAGAGCCGGGTACAGCATCTTCCTGGAGGAGCCACTTTGACTCCTATCCCCAGCACTGAGCCTCTCACATGCACCACTGAGGACAGGCCAGGACATCTGCATCCAGTGCGGACATGTCACCTCCCCTAGCCATTAGGCCCATGAGGGCAAGCAGTACTGACCCCTCCTCATGCAACAGTGTTGAACTCACCTTGCAGGCACCCAGCACTTGGGAACAAGCACGGATTCTTTCCTGGAGTGGGGGGAGGTGTCTGGCGTCCCTAAAACCTAGCACCACTGGCTTCCTCTGCCCCACTGCTGTTTCCCCAGCCCAGTCTGGGTAGCTGGGAGGTGCCTTGATTCAGAAGAGTTGAGTGTCTTGCATTGAATTGCAAAGTGTGCTGTGACCATGAAACAGCAAAAAACCAACTCCCTCCCCAGGACAGAGAGGTCACTTCATTACTGCCCTTACTCCAGAGGTGCTCCCTCCTTTCCCTTCTGCGGGAAACAGCTTAAAGGCCCCCCTTGGGGGCAAGCACTGGGCCAGCCCTTCCTGCCCCTAGAAACCCCCTACTGTTACTGTCTCAACAAAGAGATTTCTAAGTGTGGGAAGGTGGGTGAATGTGAGATTTGGCCAATCTTAGACCTCTCATCATTGGCTGCAGCAGATGGGACACAGATCTGGGACAGTATTGAGACTTGGCCCTGGGTGAGGGTTAGTGCTGGGGCGGGGGGTGGAGGAAGACCATACAAGGGTTAAGGTTTGAGTCGGGGATGTGACTAGGTCAAGGCCAGATGTTAAGTCCAGGCAGTTCTCCCGCCTAATGGGCACAATTTAAGGTTATATGGCACATCTCCTGGGAGCAGGACACAACCACAACAGGGACCTTACTTAACAAATGCAAAATTGTAAACTAATCGTTTGTACCCTCATATTAATCTGAAAAAAAAAAAAAAAAAGTCCAGGGGCGAATGGAGGTCCAGGCTGAGGTTGGCCCATTGCTGGGATGGATGTGGTTTCTGCTTATTTTGTGAAAGGTATATGTGCTCGGTTCCTCAGGCCTGAAGACAGCTTGTGGTGGAAGGGGCTGGTGGTCACCTCCAGTAGTGGTCTTTAGAGTGTGGCCAACCAAGTCTTATCTACTTCCATCTGGGCAGGAAGAGTAGTGTGTTGGGGACTCTACCTTGTGAGATGCGGCCTTGATGCTGCCCTCCAGAGCATGGTGGCAGGGCTGTGCTGAGGGCCTCCCTGAGGGGTGATCTCCTGAGCTCTGGGCTCCTGGGAGTTGAAGAAGGGCTGGCCAGGGACAGGGTGGCAGATGACACTTGGGGGAGGTGGAGCTCCAGATGCTACTTCATTGTACCCAGGTCAGCCTCAGCTAAGCCCAAGACAATGTCTATCCCCATCAGAAGATGTTAAACCCTGCCTCTTTCAGATTAAAATATATTTTTGTTCCAAGACCCTGTTAAATGGAAACTACGGGCTTAACAGTAAATCCAGGCTTCGGTTGGCTCTGGCCCCACTGGTGGTCCTGATGATCCTAGGTTCTGCTTCCCACAGAGCAGCAGGAGAAGGTGGCTTAGGAGCTGGTCCTGGCTAGGCCTATAGCCTAGGGTCTCAGGTCTCTTCCTTGTTTTGGGGGGTGGCAGGTCTCAGGACTTAGGAAAAATGTAGGTATACCCCTTGCACAAAAAAGGACAGAAGAAAAGCCAGTACTTTGGGAGGAGGTCTCATTAATCATTAAGTCATTTGAATGAGCAAACTGACTCTGTCCTTTGTCCTTGCTCTCTGCCCCATGAAGTATGTCAGGGGCATCAGGGCAGGCACCTAATAGAGGCTGATGCCAGTATCTGGCTGGATGTGAGAGGGAGCTGTGTGTATGTCCCTTTGCCTCTTTAAGCTCCATCCAAGGCCTCATTCAGCATGGTCCCAGCTGGTGCCTGCAGGTCCTCGTTCCCTCCACCCCACCACAAACCCTGGCTCTACAGTGCTGAGAACAAAGACCAAAGCCAACTGACTGGAGTGTCTTAATAGTTAATACCCTGGGTCTCTCCCACAAGACATATCTCCCAGGCTGTGGTCACTTGGTACTGCAGGCAAAGGGCTGAGCTGGGTGGGGGTGTGCCAGGACCACATCAGGACCAAGCCAGAGGGGCTGAGCTCACAGGTTTGCTGGGCCTGGCAGTTCTTCAGAGACTATGGTGCATTGGGGAGTAGGCCTCCCACAGCTCTGAGTCTGGCAGAACCCCCTAGAGGTGGGTGAGCGAGCCCTGACAACATGAGTGTAGACTGCAGGCATCCTCAAACTACGACCTGTGGGCCACATGCAGCCCACCTAGGACATTTATCCGGCCCGCCAGGTGTTTTTGCCACCACTGCCTGTCCTGCTTAGCAGCCAACTCATCCCAGGGCCTGCAGTCCGGCCCTCCAACAGTCTGAGGGACAGTGAACTGGCCCCCTGTTTAAAAAGTTTGAGGACCCCTGCTGTAGAGCATGGCTGCTTCTCTATAGCACCCTCTTTGCAGCACCTTCAGCTTGGCACAGCCCAGGCCAGGTCACCAGCACATGCAGCTTGGCACAGCCAGGCCAGGTTACCAGAGCAAGTCTAAGGGAGGTCTGCCCATTCACAGCTGTGGGTCACCAGAGGGGGATGGGAAGGGACAGATCAACCTGATCCTCATTGTGCCACTGTGTGTGCCTGTGTGCTCCCCTCTCACCTGCATGAACCCCCCAGCACAGCCTGCTATGAAGACATGTGTGTAGCTGGGTGGCTGAGCCCGCCGTTCCCGATGGGAGGTTGCGGTGAGTGCCAGCAGGGAGTTGCTGTATACCCCGAACAGCACAGAGTTGACCACAGCTATGCTCGCGATGGGGAAGCTCATGCCCTTGAAGAAGCCCAGAATCTACAGAGAGACATGGCGACACCAGAGTAGATGCCATGGGGCTTCCCCTTTGACCTCTCCAGCCCTGGCAAAGCCATTTTTGGCTGGAGATCCCTCCCAAGCCCTGCTACAGAGCAGTGGGGACAGTCTGAGGATGGGAAAGGCCTCAGCTCCTCTGTAGGGGTACTGAGCTACCACCAAGTCCCCCCAGAGGTCCTAGACTTGGATCTTCTCTCCACCGGGGAGAAGGAATTTGGTACTAAACACCCCTGATGCCTCCTACCCCAAAGAAGTAGGCCACCCACCGACTCATGGCGGTAAATCTTCACCATGCAATCAGTAATGCCCTGGTACGTGGTCTGGGTCTGCAGACGCACCTGAATGGGGAGGACAAAGCAGGTGGGCAGCCACTCTTCCCTCCAGCTCCAGGAGCAGCATGCAAGCAGGCAGAAGAGGAGGAAAAGCCTCCATTAGCGAGGCCTGATCTCAGGGCATCCTGACATTTGATTTGGGTAAGATCTTTCATTACTCAGTTGCCTCTCCTAGACTCACCTTTACAGTATCAAAGGGGTGTCCCAGGACCAAACCCAGAGCTCCTGTGGTGACAAGAAGATGCTATGAGTTAAGGCCTCATGCCAGACCTAAGATGCAAGGTCTGCTGAGATGAAAGAGGGATTCAGGCAGGAGGAAGAGGGGCAGGACCTTCTCAGATACATGCAGCCACTTTCCTGCCAGCTTCCAGTGAAACTCCAGCTGTCCCTTACCCCATCATCCACAGGGAGCTGGAAGGCACTGGGACAAGGGAGTGAGGCCCATCTTCCCACCAAAAGGGAAGAGCCAACCAAAGACACTTGTGTCCTTGGCTGGGAGCCAACCCCAAAGTGTCCTGCTGCTTATGAATGGGGAACTCTGGATGAATCCCCAGTGCTCCTGCTTCCTGTCAGCTTTACTCTTTCCTTCAATTCATAGGGTTGTCACCTTGATCCAGAGCAGGCCGCACCACCAGTCAGCAGTACGGTGCCAACTGCCCTTTGAGGAGTAGTGCTGACCCTCTTAAAAGACCCTTCCCAGGCCAGGCACGGTGGCTCACGCCTGTAATCCCAGCACTCTGGGAGGCCGAGGCAGGTGGATTCCCTAAGCTCACAGGTTCAAGACCAGCCGAGCCAGAGTGAGACCCTGCCTCTAAAAATAGCCAGGTGTTGTGGCGGGTGCCTGTAGTCCCAGCTACTCGGGAGGCTGAGGCAAGAGAATCATATGAGCCCAAAAGTTTGAGGTTGCTAATGAACTATGATGCCATGGCACTCTATGGAGGGCGACAAAGTGAGACTCTGCCTCAAGAAAAAAAAAAAAGTAAAAAAGAAGAGAGCCCTCCCAGCCCTTCACCTAGTCTTGTCCTCTATATGGAGCTGGTTCTGGAGATTAGGGGAGGTCTCAGCCCAAGGAAGCAAATTCAGAATGTATCTCTCCCCTAAGAGGAGTGTCACTCAGAAGCTGGGTGGGAGTGCAACCTTTTGCCAGGTGGGGCAGAGACCCAAAGCAAACTCAGGATAGCAGGTGATGTCAAAGGTGAACTTCCTTTCTGAGCCCCACAAGGTGGGCCTAGAGAGTGGGGCTTTAGCTGCAGGGGCTCCCTGGGCTTTCCCACCCTGGGAGGTGTCTGTCTGGTGACTTGGATGCAAGCAGCACCTCCCCCCCTGCAGGTCACTCTCAGGAGGCTTGGCCTCAGCACTTCATGTCACTCACCTTCCCTAGGAAGTGACCTACTTGGGTATGAAGTGACAGAAGGAACAAAAGTGTCTCACCAGAGATCCAACCAGCCACGAACTCCTCCACAGGCATTGTCTGGGCTCCGTGGGGACTGGTGACGCCCGCAGAGAAGATGGTGAAATTTTAATTCCCCCTCACCCTCCTCTATACAGCGTTGATAACCTCCTGCTAATGTTTAACCCTGGCTGGAGGGTGAGAATTGGCCTAGTGCCCAGACCTGGGGCAACTGGGAGAGGGGAGCCAGCCAACTCTGGTAACCCTAAGGCTGGAGGTGGTATGCAGAGTGTGGACTCTCACAGGCCAGGGGTGATGGATATATGGAACCATGGTGGCGTGATCCCCCAGTCCAGCAATGGCATGACAATGTTGGGGATGGTAACCCAATGTCAGCCTCCTGGGAGGCCCTGCCTACCCACTGTAGCCCAATGCCCCACCCCACCTCCACCCACCAGGCCTGAAGACCGATGGGGCTGGCCAGTGTCCACCAGGGGGGCAGGCCCAGCCCACACTTGCCTGTGGCTTGGAGTAGCCACTCCCAGGAGTGACTCACCAGGCAGAAAGTTGTTCTTTCCAGAGTTGTTTACAACTCCCCTGTGTGAGTCAAACACAGCCTGCCTAGGCCTATTCTTTCCCAGGGGAAAGATGGGAGGATGGGCATATTAAAAGTCCTATTTCTATTTGCAAGGGCCCACCCTGCTTAGAGGCAAAACTGAAATCTTTCCTAGGCCCTGGGAGCCACAGGGTGCTGCTCATCCTCCTCCGACCACATCCAGACTCCAGCCTCCTCACTCTTCGTCAAACAGGCTCCTGACTCCAGGCCTTTGCACTGGCTGTTCCCTCTTCCTGGACATTCTTTGTTTACCCCCGGCTTCAAGCCCAGACTCAGATGTCCCTTACTGACTGAGCCCCAACAAACATTGCTGTTTGCCCCACCCCACAGCAGTCAGACCTCACTCTTCCTCTTCTTCCTCCCATCACAGTTACCACTTGTGACCCATGATGTGTCTGTCTGGCAGGGATCTCTGACTGTTTTGTTCACTGATGTATCTCAAAGGCTTAGAAGAACGGGTGGCACAGGGTGGGCACTCAATAAATATTGAGTGGAGTTAGAAGGCAGGCTGGGTGAGGTGGCTCATGCTTGTAATCCTAGCACTCTGGGAGGCCAAGGTGGGTGGACTCCCTGAACTCACAGGTTTGAGACCAGCCCATGCCAGAGGGAGACCTCATCTCTAAAAATAGCTGGGAGTTGTGGTGGGTGCCTGTCGTCCCACCTACGCATGAGGCTGAGGCAAGAGGATTGCTTAAGCCCAAGAGTTGGAGGTTGCTCAAAAAAAAAAGTCTCACTTTGTCCCCCTCGGTATAGGCTGTGGTGTCACAGCTCACAGCAACCTCCAACTCTTGGGCTCAAGCAATCCTCTTGCCTCATCCTCCCAAGTAACTGGGACTATAGGCGCCTGCCACAATGCCCAGCTAATTTTTGGTTGCGTTGGTTAGCTGACCTCGGCCAGGCCTGAACCTGCCAGCCTCACTGTATGTGGCTGGTGCCCTATTCACTGAGCTATGGACACCGAGCCGATATATATATTTTGAGACAGAGTCTCATTATGTCGCCCTCAGTAGAGTGCTGTAGCATCACAGCTCACAGCAACCTCCAAATCTTGGGCTTAAGAGATTCTCTTGCCTCAGCCTCCCAAGTGGCTGGGACTACAGGTGCTCCCCGCCCCAAGGCCTGGCTATTTTTTTTTTTTTGTAGTTGTCATTGTTGTTTGGCAAGCCTGGGCTAAGTTTGAACCCGTGAGCCCCAGGGTATGTAGCCAGCACCCTAGCCACTGAGTTACAGGTGCCAAGCTAAAAAATAAAAAATATTGAGAGAATGAATGGAAACATCATGGAGTAGCATTGGTGGCCAAGCCCTGGTGCTCCAGTCTTCTCTGGGCCCTAGAGAACATAAAAGTCCAACAGTACCCCCACCATCCCCACTAGGTATCCTAGGAGCTTTTGGTTTCCTATCAGGTGCCTAAAGTCCCATTCTGCTCACCCTCCTCTCTCTCTGTGGCCACAGCAGAACCCAGCCACTCCTACCTGTCCTATGGGTAGGAGGGGTTCTAGGGTGGACAGATTCTAGGAGGCAGGGCTTCATCCTGACCTCTTTCCCCTGAAACTGCCTGCGGCTCTTTGGGCCACCGTAAAGACCATCTGAAAGACTGGCCTCTCATGGTGGGTTGGATTGCATCCTAGTTCTACCTCTTGTTCTCTCCCTGAGTGGTGTCGGGGAAACCCCATCTCTGGGCCTTGGGATCCTTTATTGTTTGCCAAAGTAGGGGATCAGGGTGGTGCCTATGGTTTACAGAGTAGGGCGTCAGCCCCACAGACTGGAGGTGGAGAGTTCAAACCCGGCCCGGCCAAAAACAAAACAAAACAAAGTAGGGGATCAACTGGTTGACTGCTGATGTCTAAGCCTCAGCTCTAAAAGCCACAGGCCTCATCCTTCCTCACTTCAGAATGGGCCCCATTTTCTCTTCCTCCTCATGGAGCTGCTTGCAGCCACCCACCCAGTTCAAGATCTTCATTCTTACTTCCCTATAACCTGGCAGAAGAGAAGCCACCTGTGCATGGCATAACGGTGCTCTCATCTCATCACTCTCTAGCTCACAACCTCTAAGATGTCCTCACTGCCTGAAAAACCTGCCCCATACACCTCACTCTGCAGTTCAGAGGACCAACCTCAGTGCCACTCCACCCACTGTGCTCTGATGCAGAAGGGGTCTTCCTGGGGTCCTAATTGTGTACTTGGAATGCCTTTCCTCCCCCACCTGCCAGCCAGCACACTACTCAGCCTTCCGGTTCTCTCCCAAGCCCTCTCCTCAGTTAGACCTGGGTTCTGGCTTTCCACGGCCACCACACATAAGGAAGACGTCAATCTTTCCAATCTCTTTTTCTCCTTCATAAAAAAGAGAATACTCACCTCTTAGTGTGTTATAAGGATTAAAGCACTTAGAACAGTAGCAGGCACATAAATTGTAGCTGCTAATACTTTTATTTCCACTCACAGGATACATAAGGATGACATGAGGGAACACATGGGAAAGGTCCTGGCCCAATGTCCAGCACACAGCAGGTGAGCAGGGACTGAGGACCGTCTCTTTCTTCCTTACAGCATTTTGTAGCTCTTAGGACAACACAGTCATTTTCTGAGGTTTTAAGTATGCTGTTCTCCTGGGCTTCTTTCTCTTTCCCTTCTTCCTTCACCTCCAATTAAACCTTAACATACACTTCCTAAGGGCAGTGGCCATATCTCACCTGTCTTCACCCCTTGACCCAGCACAAGCCCCGCACCCTGTAAGCAGCAGTCAGCAGCACAGAGCTGTGTTCCCACCCTGCTCCAGCTAGTTTAGGGAAGCCACAGGGCCATTGTGTCTTGGTCTGAAGGTTCCAGGGCTGCACACTTTTCTCTGCAGCCTACATCCATGCCTCTTCCAGTCCTTAAGTCGTGTCAGTAAGACCCACATGTTGTAATGGGCTCTGTTGCAGGTGGTGTGGAGTCCTGGAGGGGCAGGCAAAGAGCTGGTCCAAATATTGATTAGACTAGGCCAGGAGTCAGAGCTGCTTTCCAATCCCAGCGTATTAGGGTAAGCTGAACTCACTGCTCTGTTCCAGATTGCCATTTGGAACAGTTTCTGCTTCCTCTGGCTCTGGAAGGTGCCCAGTGGATCTATTTTTCTCCCTGAGGTCCACACCTCAGGTACATACATGCTGGCATTGCCAGGATATATTGGTCACATGGTCCTGGGGATAAATGGTTTCACACTTGCCTCTTCAGTGCCCCAACATCTTTTCCCAGCCTAAGAATAACCTCGAGGTCTCAGAGCTGTGTGTTTAAGATAGCGAGGGATCGCAACTGCTCCCTGGAAAAAGTGCACCTGGCCTGGGTTTCTGACATAGATGTATGAGTCCTTAGAAGTCATCGAGTCTAACCTCCTCATTTTACATATGTGGAAACTGAGGCCTAGAGAGTAAGGGACTTGTCCAATACGAGTTAGGAGGGCCAGGACAGTCTCCTGACCACAGTACAAAGGCCATCGCCCTTCACAGACAGGGGGACGCTGCAGTACAGGCCGCCGTGCCCAAGCAGTTTGACTCCTTGACACGTCCCAGAAAGCGTCTCCAGTTCCCAAGCCTGGCCCAAAGGCGGCGCCTGTGGCTCAGTGAGTAGGGAGCCGCCCCATATACCGAGGGTGGCGGGTTCAAACTCAAACCCGGCCAAATTGCAACAACAACAACAAAAATAGCCGGGCGTTGTGGTGGGTACCTGTATTCCCAGCTACTCGGGAGGCTGAGGCAAAAGAATCACTTAAGCCCAGGAGTTGCAGGTTGCTGTGAGCTGTGTGACGCCATGGCACTCTACCAAGGGCAACAAAGTGAGACTGTCTCTACCAAAAAAAAATAGTGTCCCTGTCCGGATTTTCTTGAATCTCCGCCACATCCTATTAAGGCCAATGGCCGGCGCCGGAGTGAGGGGCAACTTCCCCAATCACTCGGGTTGTAGGGGAAGGGCTGTTTCGTGACACCGTGGCCAGACACGCAAGGTACTTGCCCACATCGTCTGGGCATGTGCGAGCCGGCGGGAGCTGTGAGAGCCCGCGGAGACCGGCAGGGCGCGTGCGCGGCAGCCCCGCCATCAGATTGGCTGCCGTGGGCAGGGGGGCGGAGTCCTGCGTGCCGCGCGTCCTCCGGCCGCAGCTTCCGCGTCGCAGCCCCAGCCCTGGATTCCTAGCGGGAGCTGGAGTCCCAGCGGTGGCCCGCTCGCGGCAGGGCCGAGACCGGAGCTAGGAGCCGGAGACAGAACCTTGGCTGAGGCGGCTACGTCTCTACGAGGTGACAGCCCAGCGACGCCTTGCCCTGACCCCCGCCCGCGGATAGGGGTGAGCCTTGCTCTGCCTGGGCATCCCGGAGAGTAGAGGTTGGACCTCGGTTATTGACAGTCACAGCCCTGACCCCTCCCACCAGCTCTGACCTCGAGTCGGCCGAGGGACACCCCACCCAAGTCTGCACACTTGGTCCCACCTTGCAGGGCTCTTTAGCCTTGCAGACCCAACCCGGGACCCCTTCCCTTAATCTTTGAGAGCTTGTGGAGACCCCCACCTCCTCATCCCTGGACCCCCAGTAACTGCTGTTTCTCTTTTCCTTTGCAGATGGATGGGACAGAAGGCAATGCCGGACAGCCCGGACCCGCAGAGCGGTCCCATCGAAGCAGCGTGTCCTCCGTGGGAGCCCGAGGTGGGTCCCTGTCGGCCTCTCTTACCCTCTAACCCTTTTGGGACTCCATCCTCGGGCAAGTGGCTCTGGTTTTTATTCTTTTTCGTTAAAGATAATCTTACATATACTTTAAGAAATAAGGTACATTAAGATATGGGAAACTCACCGAAGTGAGTCAGAGCACCTGGCTCTGTCGCTAGCTTAGTGGCCAAGTGGAGTCTTCTTAAATCTCACTCTCCTTATTTATAAAATGGGTATTTCAGCCATGCATGGTGGCTCACGCGTGTTATCCTAGCACTCTGAGAGGTCAAGGTGGGTGGATAGTTTGAAGTCATCAGTTCGAGAGCAGCCTGAGCAAAAGCAAGACCCCATCTCTACTAAAAATAGAAAAACCAAGGCAAGAGAATTGCTTGAGCCCAAGAGGTGAAGGTTGCTGTGAGCTATGACGCCACAGCACTCTACCCAGGGCAACAGCTTGAGGCTCTGTCTCAAAATTAAAATAAAATGGGGATTTCATATAGCTGTGAAATTCAAATATGATCACATGAATGAAAAGTGACACCTTCAGTGGCACCCTTAGCTCAGTGGGTAGGGTGCCGGTCACATACACCGAGGCAGTAGGGTTTGAATATGGCCTGGGCTAGCTAAAATCAACAGTGACAACTGCAACAAAAATATAGGTGGGTGTTGTGGTGGACACCTGTAGTCACAGCTACTTGGGAGGCTGAGGCAAGAGAATTGTTTAAGCCCAAGAGTTTGAGGTTGCTGAGAGCTGTGACACCACGGCACTCTACTGAGGGCAGCATAGTGAGACTCTGCCTCAAAAAAAAAAAAAAAAAGGAAAAGTGACATCTTCACAGTGGCTCATCCCTGTAATCCTAGCACTTTGGGAGGCCGAGGCAGGTGGATTGCCTGAGCTCAGGAGTTTGAGACCAGCCTGACCAAAAGTCAGGCCCTGTCTCAAAAAAATAGCCGAGTATTGTGGTAGGCACCTATACTCCCAGCTACTTGGGAGGCTGAGGCAAGAGAATTGTTTGAGCCCAAGAGTTTGAGGTTGCTGTAAGCTATGACACTATGGCATTCAACTCCAGGGCAACTGAGTGAGACTCTGTCCCCTAAAAAAGAAAAGCTATCTTAGCACTGAGGAAAGCTGAGGTGGGTGGATTGCTTGAAGTCACAAGTTCAAGACCAGCCTGAGCAAAAATAGAAAAACTACTACTACTAAAAATACTACTACTACTAAAAATAGAAAAACTCAGCTTGGCCCCTGTGGCTCAAGTGGCTAAGGCGCCAGCCACATACACCTAAGGTGGCGGGTTCGAATCCAGCCCAGGTCCACCAAAACAACAATGATGGCTGCAACAACAAAAAAAATAGCCGGGCGTTGTGATGGGCACCTATGGTCCCAGCTACTTGTAAGGCTGAGGCAGGAGACTCACTTGAGCCCAGGAGTTGGAGGTTGCTGTGAGCTATGATACCACAGCACTCTACCCAGGGGGATAGCTTGAGGCTCTGTCTCAAGAAAAAAGAAAAACTGAGGTAAGAGGATCACTCAAGCCCAAGTTGAATGTTTCTCTGAGCTATGACACCACGGCACTCTACCCAGGGCTACCCAGGAGGACAGCTTGAAATTGTCTCAGGGAAAAAAAAGTGATATCTTCACTTTCTTTGTTCCATTCCTTTCTCACAAACAGTCTTTTGAAAACAGGTCATTCTTTGTTTTCTAGGGAGGAAATTAGGCCCTATAGAGGTTAAGTTACAAGCTATTGAAGCCCTCCGGGTGATCACATTATATGAGCCTTCAGTGCCCCAATTTTCCCTGCCTGAGAGGTGGATTTGAACCTCCCCCTCCTGGGTGTGATGTCTCTCAGAGTAGCTGTTGGGGCAAAACAGACTAGGGGTTTGTGAAACACCTTCACTTGTATTCGGAATAAACTGTGACCTTCCCTGTCATAGGCTTCACCTCCTTAGATTCATAGCCACTCTGTGAGGCAGGGGTATCAGCTCTGCTTTTACAGATGAGGCAGCTGTTACTCAAGCTGACTTGTTGAAATCAACTGGCTAGCCAGGGACCAGACAGAGAATGGAATCCGATTGTGTGGGCCTCCAAGTTCAGTGTTCCTTCACCAGGCTGGTGGTTCCAGGTGTGGGGATTTGAATCTGCCTACTCTTCCAAGACTCTCCTTTTGGCTCTGGGCTCCAAATGGAATGCCCACAGGTTGTCACAAGGAAATGCTCAGTTGTTGAGGTTGTGCTTCCCTAGCCTGCTTACAGCTGTCTGAAAGGTCCCAATATTGACTCCTAAATCTTGGAGAATCCTAAGGAAGCCAAGACTTGGAATTTTCTTTAATCTGGGGTGACCTAAGTAATCCTCTGTTCCTTAGCGTGGGCCAGAGAGACACAGAGACCAGCTACCCCTACACCCTGATAAGGTAACTGCTATAACCTCAGGATGGATTCAGCCTATTTCTACCTCAGTTCCCCACCTGTGGAATGTTCTCATTCAGGGCAGAAGCACAGCAGAGTCCCTGGGCTGCCATGGGAGTTGGGAGGGGGGCGATGATGGCCTGCCCTAATTTGAACCTTGGGGATTAGAGTGAGGCTGGTTTCTGGGCCAGAGTTGCTGGGTTTCTGGGTGGTTTGAGTGTCTCAAAGTCCTAAGTGATAGCATTTCTTTTTTTTTTTTGAGATAGAGTCTCACTTTTGTTGCCCCTGATAGAGTGCTGTGTCATCATAGCTCACAGCAACCTCAGACTCCTGGGCTCAAGTGATTCTCTCTCTCTTTTTTTTTTTTTCTTTAGTTTTTT